CCCGCCGAGCGGAGCGGGGCGGGGCGAGGCGGGGCGAGGCGAGGCGGGGAGGGGCGGGGCGGGGCGGGGCAGCCTACCTTGCGCCTGCAGGCTACGTATGATGTCCGCCCGGAGGAGCAGCGGTTCGCGGTACAGGCTCAGCATATAAGCAAGAGGGGATGGCGACGAGGGCTGCCCCCACGTTCGAAGGGGCACCGGGGCTACCATCGCGGCGCCCGCCTGGAGGAGAGCCCACCAGACGTACAGGAGGAACAACGGCAGGCTGTGGGCGTGCATGGCGGGGTGGCGGGGCCCAAGGCCAGCCTCCGTCCCTTATATCCTGGGCCTTGGCGGGCGCCCCGCCCCTGCCCTTCCTCCTTAGGGGAAGCTTTCAGGTCGGATAACACCCCCCAGCCCAGCCCCCGTCACCGGGGGTGGCCCCCAGAGGGACCACCTGCTGGGGGCGAGTGAGACCTGAGCCTGGTAGGGAGGAGACCTGAAAAACTGGAGGAGCTGTTAGGTCCAGGGACCGTCTAGTTTGCCCAGTCTGGACACCCTGGCACTCTGCTACTCCAGGCTTTTTTTCCAAGACACAGCTGGCTTGTCGCAGGCAAACTCCCAGGTCAGAAGGATGGCTTCCTTACTCTCCCCCACCTGGGGTCCCTGCCCTTTCCTCTTCCTCCAGGTTCCAAGTAGATGTCTGGCCCAACCAGGAGCAGATAGAGAATGAAAGCTGTGTCTCCTGGAGGCTCTCGGGCAGGGTGCAGCCCCACACTGGCCTGGGAGGCTTCAGCCCAGCCTGGCACAGTGCAGCCTTCCAGGACACTGTACAGATGGCCTCTGGGAGCACCCCCCGCCTTATACGGCAGGGCTTGTCTGGAGAGCTAGCCTCTGAAAAAATACTGGGTACTGGGAATTGCTGGAACAAAAAAGATGAGTGCCAGACAAAGGTCCATGGGGACCTGTTTCAAATATTGAAGCTCTCTCCTGGAGAAAACAGAGGACAGGAGTGACCAGGATGAAGGACAGACTTCTCCACTGGAAAAGAAAGTGCTCAGAAGCTGGAGCCGAGGGCATAGCTCACGGGGTGAGTGGAGCGCCTGTGGTGGTATCAGGGTCTTCCTTCACAGGTTCACATCACCCCAAGGGTTTCAGGAAAAAGGTGTTGCCTGTGTCATTCATGTCCTGCAGTCCCTGCCTCCCCTGGCAGTTACCCTGGAGACCTGGGTTTCAGCTCAGGACCTCTCACTTTCCTCTCTCTGGGCCTTGCTTTCCTCACCTACACAAGAGTGGTCCTTGTCTGGGCTCTCTTCAGGTGCAAAGTCAGGTTGAAGCTGAAATTACCTTTAAAGAAATGTAAATCTCTGCCCCTTGTTCAGGCCCCAGCTATTTTCTGCAACACTGGAGGGCTCTTTATGCCCCCGCCCTCGCCCCCTGGTCCTTTCCTAGCCCTGACGTGCACATTAGCAGCTGGCCAGCGCCCCGCACACCTAGGCTTCTTTCACAGGATGCCTCCAGCTCCAAAGAACCACACGCTCAGTCCTGAGCAGGTGTTAGTGGAAGGAGGCCCAGCAGGCTCAGCTAGGAGCTCCAAACCCGTGTCCAGGTGGAAGCTGACCCAGCCAGCAGGAAGGGGCCTTGCCTAGGAGAGATGTGGGTTGTAGACCTGTGCTGACCACAGGACCGGGACAATATGCTCAGCCAGACGACTGTTAGTTCCTTCTAAAGCTGGGGACTGTCTTGTTCATCGTGCTCTCCCTCCAGTACATATCATGGTTGGGACCCAAAGTATCTTAGCTGAGTAAATTAATCAATGAATGGTACTGTGTCTGGACTTGCCTGAAGATAAGTATCACCTGGAGTGTATGTTAAACTACTGATTCCTGAGTCCCAATCCAGGCCTTTAGCATTCGAATTTGGAGAGAGACCTTGGTAATCTACTTATTTAACCAGTACCCCCTGTGATTCTTTTCAGACAACTTTGAGAACCTGGGTGAGCTAGGGTCTAGTTGCAGTTTGGAGCCCACGTCTCTGCGTTCAGTTTCCTCATCTGTAAACCATGACTGGAGATGCTTCCTTCCATGAAGATTAAATAAAACAAATGCTAAAATGCTTTGCAAGCGCTTAAAACCTGCTGTTTTTGTAAAGCCTTAAGCATACAGATTATTATGGGTGCTCCGTGGTTGTCATTCAACTTCCCTAGCCTGGGGGCTTGCAGCCTGGGGCTTGTCAGTCCCAGCCCTCTGCATCAGACCCCTCCCCAGAGGCAGAAGGTGCCCTCACCCAGGTTATGAATATATAAATAGAAAACAGTGAGAGATTGTGGTCTGACAGAGGTATAGGGGTCAGCCTTCCCCCAAACCTACATGTCCTAGAATCCAGGGGGTCCCTGTTTAAACAGGGGCATTCAGAACGTAGTAGTCTTATCCACCAGGATTGGGGAAGGAACAAAACAGATGATCTCCTTCCTGTACTGGACCAGAAGCTTCTTGAAATTAAGCTTTATTCATTCTGTGTCCCTCGTACTATGTGGCATATAGTAGGAGCTCAGTAAATATTTCAATTAAAATGACATAATTACAATGGCTAACGCTTATTGAGCACCTAATGCAGTAGGCATTCTGGTAATCACTGCATTGATTTTATTATCATCCCCACTTCAGGGATGAGAAAACAGAGGCTCAGAGGGAACCTGGTAACTTGCTCAAGGCCACACATTTACAAGTGAAAACAGCCAGTATGTGAAGGATACTGCTTGTTACCCAAACCCATGCCTATAGCCTTGTGGCTTCCCCATAGATGAGAGGATGGACATGGGCCTTGTCCTAAGACTTAAAAAAAAAAAAAAAACTCTCAAAGTCTTGCTTTTCCCAGGGTCCCGGAGCAGCAGACACAACTCATTTCTGATGTGTATTGGCCCAAAGCCCTGTGGGGACCTGCTCTCTGACCAGCAAGAGGGACTCTGTCAAAGCCCATTCATCACTGAACTTTCTCCAGCTGGGGCATTCTTCAGGACAGAGGCTAACAGTCATTCTTCTCATTTTTAAAAGGTACTTGTTCATACAGGATCTGTTTCCTGCAAGAAGGACCAGAAGTGCCTCTTCCCAGGAGGGGAATGACACCTTCTCGCTTCCCCTGCCCCAGACAGACTGACCGTCGGATTACCTGACCTGGGAGATAACCTTTCAGGGCCAACCCAGCTGGCTGGAGAGTGGGGAGCAAAGTCCCTCGAAGTTCTCAAATGCCTTCCATTGGGCCGTTCTGGGCCCGTCCTCCACGTGAGCAACGATATGCAGGGTTAAGTGCTGGGGCTCTGAGGTCAGGCTGCCAGCAGGCAGACTCTGGATCCTTCTCTATCGATACCTGGGCATATTAGATAACTTACCATCTTGAAGCATTTGCTCCCTCAGCTGTAAAATGGAGATAAAGAATAGTATCTACTCGACAAGAATGCTGTAAGCAGTAAATGTGTGTAAAGTAGTGCTTGGTCATTTGTTTATTCATTCATCGAACAAACCTGCTTATCTAGGAGTCTAAGGCAGGTTACCGGCAAGTGCTAGATTCTCAGGAAGTCAGGGCAGGAAGGCAGTTCAGTTCCGCACATATTTAATGAGCATTTCCTATATGCCAGTGTGACACTGGCTGTCTTCGCATATATGTTAGCCTACAGAAGCCTATGTTATCCTGTTCATCCCTCCCCGAAGCTCTGTAAGGTATGAAAGGCATTTTAGAGATGGGGAAACTGAGGTACAGAGGAATTAAATAGCATCATTATTTTGAAGGTGGAGGGCGTCTGCTTTATCACGCTACTCCCACGCCTGGCACAGCTCCTGGCACAGCTCCTGGCACACAGGAACTCAGTAAGGATTTGTCAGGTGATGGAATGAGGTCCATATTCCTGAACAGGTTCCCAGCACACCTCTGCCTCTCACATGCTGCTTCTCCATGCAGCCTCCTGCTGTTTCCACTTAGTCTCCCTGGTAAACTCCTTCTCACCTATCAAGGCAGAGCTTAAACACTGCTGCTTCCTCTACAAAGCTGTCACTGGCTCCCTAGCAATTTGGCAGAGTCCTCTTCTAAGCAGAGGGCCAAGGAGCAGTTGTCCCAGCCCTCATGAGTAACTGCCGTCAGACTGGGAGCTCCCTGGAAGTGCGGACGACTCCTGTCTCTGAAGCCTCAGCCCCTGCTTCCTAGCTGACCACTGCTTGCTGGGATCCTCAGCTTGACGCGGTCCCGCATGTGTCAGAGGTGGGACTAAGGACAGGCTTCTGGCTTCCACCTCCAGTACTTGGTGCCCTTCCTGTACCCCTCACTGCTGGTCTTGGAGGGCCCATCTAGGTGCCTCTACTGGGCACACGTGGCTCTCTCTGTGATCTGGAGATAGAGACCTCAGCGTTCCATTACAATCCCCTTGTACCCCAAATGCACTCTGGCCCCATGGAAACACTCACCCTTCTGCAAAGTTCAGAGCTGTTCTGGCTCTGCCCAGAATGATTTTTACCTCCTCTTCATTCACACAAAATACACCTATTTATCCCACAGAACCCAGCTCGAGGGTCTACTCTTCCACGTGGTCTCCTTCCCCCTTCAGGCCCTGGTCCCTGGAGCCCCTAGGAGTTTTCCACCAGGAGCCTGCTGCTGGCTGGCTCTGTATTCTGCAGTGTTCAGCAAAGGGCCTGGCCTTGGGAGGTAGAGCTTGCAAATCTGCCTGCACCCCACCTTGACTGATCCACAGTGCTTTGTCTGCTCCCAGCAGCGTTTTGAAAGGTTTTTATTTAAATCACCAATACCGAAAGTTCATAAGATTTTGCAGAAAATAGTTTGTTTTCATCATTTAAGAAATGGAAAGGGCTAGGCCCTCATTTTAACAAAGCAAGCATTCCCTTAAGCTGAATAGGATCTGCTTCCTTTAGGCAGGGTCTGTTCTCTAAGGAGCAGCACAGTCCCCACCACTCCTTAACTTACTGCACCCATGTGCCTGGCCCTAAAGACAAGTGAGTTTGAGACACTTGCTGTATATTGGATGAGAGTAAGACACTCCGGAATCAGTTTGGGAGTGGAGGTTCGGGGTTAGCCCACCCCGTTGTCCTCCAACTAACCCATAGATTGTGGGTACCTGGCCCAGGCTGGGATGAAATAGAAATAATCTATTATTTAATAAGAACTTACCATGGGAGTTCCCTGGTGGTCCAGTGGGTAAGACTCTGCGCTCCCGATGCAGGGGACCTGGGATCGATCCCTGGTCAGGGAACTAGATCCTGCATGCATGCCACAGCTAAGAGTCCTCATGCCACAAC